CATACATACATACATACATACATACATACATACATACATACATACATGGCTCAAGCCGTGAGTGGTCCAAGCAGGCACGCCCCACATAAAGCCCTGCTCGTGCGGCACCCCCAAGCACCACGTGTGCAAAACGAATACCCACACAGTCGCCGCCTTTGAGCTCCACCTGGGTGAGCGTCCTTTGCTCGCAATCCTGCACTTCACCTTCCACGCTCAAGAGGAGCTCTTTGGCAACCGGCAGGTCTCGCCTCTGACTCCCTCTTTGGCATCCAGGAACAGTCCAACTTCTGGCCAACGACATTCGGGACAACCTGTACTACAGCTTTGCCCGTGATCCCTACAAGATAACGAACATTCCTGGCCAGTTCGCAGAGTACGAGGGCATCTTCGACAATGGCGCCAACCAACTGGTGCAGATCCTACACCGTGTGCACTGCCAAGCAATGCACAAACTGGATCTGGGATGACAAAAAGAACCCCGGCACTAGGTGCAGACGCTGTGGCACCTGGTGGTCACAAGGCTCAGCACCCACCGGAAAAGGCAAAGGCCAAGGCCATGGGCAAGGAAAGAAAAGCTACAGCAACATCACCTGGCCCAAAAGCTCGACCCACGATGCTCACCTGGAGCCACCGCCGGGCTTGCGCAAACTCAAGCCTTTGAAGAAGACCAAGAATCAGCAAACAGCGGCTGAATTGCTGGCCACTACTTGGGACGTCATCCCCAATGAAATCCAGACTAAGCTTGCAGCATTGGGACTGGCACCTCCCACACCAGCAGAACCAGGCCTCACGGAGATCTTGCAGACTCACTTGACCGCCCTACCACAACCGGTGCAAGACATAGTCAACAAGCTCAACCAGCCCATGCCGGCCACGGAGAAGGACCTGGCACAGCAGCTCAAAACACAAGTCACTGAGCTCAAGACCATCTCCATGAAGAAGGCCCAGCTTCAGGTCAAACTAGACCAGACGAAAAGCCAATATGCTGCAATGCTCCAAGACATGCAGGACCACCAGACACGGCTCAATGAAGGGCAGCAAAAGTTGAAAACTCTGTCCGAGCAATACATGCATGCTGTCAACAAAACACCACTGCCAGAAGGACTCGCCACAGCTGAAGAGGCTGAGCTCACAATCCCGATGGCAGTTGAGACTTTTGTCAACAGCTTAGGAGTCACACTGACAGAAGATCAGCGCTCACAGCTCCAAGGCCTGCTGAAAAGACCAGGCCAGGAAGCCGAAGATCCCAGTAAGCGCAGGAAAACTGAAACCATTGCACCAGCAGAGTCACCACAACACTGTGGGTAACAGGAGACAAACCATGCCGGGATTTCAAGGGCTAGCGGTGCCGATACCCCTTGATGACTTTGAAACGGCATCAACTCACCAATCACCGGTTTGCCGTGCTGCATCCGGCTCAATCCAGCAAGGGATTTCCTTCCAAGGTGCAGGGGACAAGTCACCTTTTGCAAGGAAGGCACACATTTTGACAGCAGAGGGTCAGACAACATTTGGTGCAGGGGATACCACCAACATGTTGCACACACAGGCATCCCACAAGCAGATGCACAATTTTGATACTACCATTGCACCGGCCTCACCTGCGGATGGACTCTCCAGCGGGGCACCTGGAGACCACATCATCGCCATAAAAGGTGGTGCCAACAACCTGCAGTACAAGCACGCCAAGGCAGGGAGACAACCCCGGATGCAGCACACATATGCATCCACCACGGAGTGCATTCTCCAAAACCTGTCCATGGCCATCGGAAATCCAAGCTCACGCTGCTATGCTAATGCACCATGGAGAGCATTCACTTGGACATGTGGGCTCCTTCAGGAGACCCATACTGAGCCATGGGGAACCCTGCATGCAGCAGTTCAAGAATCACTTGAACTAGCAGAAGCAGTGGACATACAACAGCTGCCAGGCCTGCATCGGCTGTGGACAAAACATGACCTCAATGTCCAGGGAGACGCAAACCATTTCGTCAACACCCTCTGGAACTTGTCCCAGAGCAGAGCCTTCCACTACCGCTACGCCGAGATCAAAGCTGGTGGATACCTCGCAGATCATGTCCAAGTTCCACTGTTGGTCGATTTTCCACACGATTGGCCTGAAAACACCACGGTACAATCACTGATGAATGGATGGGCCAATGAAGGGCTCGGCCAATACCTGCTTGATGATAAAGCCATCCTGGTCACCCACATCACACGCAACATCACTGTTGACGGGGTGGCTACAAAGCACAAGAAGGTCCTGAATCCTTATGGAACCTTCACGGTACCCAGATCCATGGATGGATTTGCCAGAGCATCCACTGAGTTTGTCCCGGCAGCGCTGATCTGCCACAGAGGCACCAACCATGAAGCAGGACACTACTTTGCCATCCTCATCTACCGCGACCTACTCTGGTTGGCCGACGATGGCAAGGTTCCGACCCACCTGCCACACTTGACACCACAGCTTGCCAGTCAAGTGGTCCAAATCTGGGCGGTGCACATTGACACGTTCAGCACCACACAACAGATCATGCAGCGACTACCACCACCTGAAGAGCCAGATTTTGATCCACCACTTCACCCCAGTCCAGAGAAAAAGCCCCGGCTCGAACAAACACACAACAGAATCCACTATGCCAACATCACAAATTTTGGCAGACAGGTCACAGACTGGTACTGGACACGCACCAGCGAGCCCTACATCTTCGTCGAGACGCACTTGGATCCACAGCAACACGAACAGACCTGCCAGTACTACACAGTCAGAGGTCGCACGGCTTTTGGGACACCGGCTTGGCCCAACAGTGACACTTCAGGCACACACGGCGGCATCCTGGTTCTTGGGGACCAATCCAGCTGCCTCACACCGGTGGATTCTTTCACCATCCAAGGCTGTGGCTACCAAGCCTTTCTCTGGCAGGCCACAGATTTGACAGTTCTCATCGCTGGCATCTACCTCCGCACCAACGAGGGCATCCAGAGTGAGGTTAATGCCACCATCATAGCCAAGCTACTAGCACTCCTGCAGGCTACAACACATCCTTTCATTCTCATTGGAGATTGGCAGAACAAACCCAGCACAATCTCAAGCGCGGTGCTACCTTCCAAGTTCCACTTTGACATCCTGGCACCTGATGTAAGCATGCTTTCAGGCAATGTCATCGATTACAGCCTGATCCACACATCCCTCTCCAGCACCACTGCACTAACAACGGACTGGGCGGTGCCGTGGCGTCCACATGCATTACTAACGTTGCACCTGGACCTTGATGCAGCCACAAAAGAGTTCAGACAAATCCAGTACTACCCACCCTTGCCACCGGTGCCTGACATCGACTTCAGACCATGGACCACATTCCAATCTGAGGCCTTTGAACTCTGCCTATACAACATCCCTGTCAACGACAAAGCGCAAGCCTGGGCAGACTGGATCTCGGCCACGGAGCAGTATCTTCCCATGGGCAGCCAGAGGCAGGGGGGCAAACCTCAATGTGAGCATCAAGCCCTTAGCAACACCAAAGTCAGGAGGCACCTGGAAAAAGGGCAGGACTGCATTCTGGGAGCAATTGCAGGCCAGATTCCGTCTAGCTCAACAACAGCCCCACACACAGGCTGGCGGGCCCACCAAAGGCTTCATGAAAGCCATCCAAGACATCCAGACCAAATGGTTGGGACCGCCCACATGGAGCCAATTCCTGGATACTTGCCACCAGTGGCACACCTACAAAGACCCCCATGCAGCTGAATTAATTCAGCATACCATGAAGCATCAGCAGCACGAAGCACAACAGGCAGCCAATGCTGAGTTGCATCTCCAGTACAAGACCTGGCTCACCCAAGGCCATGCCAAGGGCCTCAAAGGGCTCTTCCGCGGCCTTAAAAGCAGTGAAGTACCCTGGAAAAGGCCGTGCAGAAACCTCGAACCAGACAAGCGCATGAACCAACGCCTAGCTGACTGGGGAGCACTCTGGCACATCCGAGACGACAACAACCCAGCACCAAGGACCAGCTTACGTGAACAGGCACAGCGTCAGGCAGTGGCACTTCCACCCATTACTATGGGGTACTTCAGCCGAACCATCCAAGCCCTTCCTGACAAAGCTAGTGGACCAGATGCGGTCTCCGCCCAACTCCTACGATCAGCACCACCACTAGCCCTGAATCCCTTGCTCAAGCTCATCCAGGACATGGAGCAGAGTGCCCAGATGCCCACCCAAATGCAAATGCACATGGTCGTCATGCTGGCCAAAAACCCAACCATCGAACGTCCAATCACATTGACATCCACCTTGTACCGTCTATGGTGCCGCCTCCGCAAGCCCATCCTGGATGCCTGGCAAGCTGACCTCCCTGACTTCATGAACCACGACCGTGCCAGACCCGGAGCTCAGGTGTTGCAGGTCGCCTTGGAGCGACTCCTGAGACAAGAGGTTCACAGGGCCAACAAGCGCCACGGGGTGACAGTCCTCATGGACTTGTCAACCTTCTGCGACACCATCAAGCTACAGCAACTGCAAGACCAGGCCACTGCCATCCACTACCCGCCCCTCATGCTCGAGATGGCTATGCACAGGACCTAAAGCCATAGTGGCCGAGCAAGAAATGACACCCTT